GCATTTCGACACAGGCACTACTAGCTACTAAAAATAGCCTAACCTCATAAATCGAAATGTTGATGTTCTGTCTAGTGGAGCTGTTTACACGACTGCTAAGGAATGTAAGTAAATGAAAGCATCTGACATCAGCGTCCTTATTTACATATTCAGTTTTCTGACCACCCTGCAGGAAATGTCAGGGCTGTGTTTCTCAAAAGCATCTTTATGCCCTGATAAATGTAGGCTAACATATATAATGTTTGCTTGTATAACATGCAAATATGTATTACTGAGTTTAAAAATTGGCACAAGTACAGTTTTCATCATAGTAAATATTGACATTGACCACAGGCCTCTGGGTCTTTACATTTTTAGACAGTTTGAAATCACTGGTTTCCTCGAGACAACAACAACATTAACAAAAATACACTCTTTAAAACAATTATTGGCAATAAATATAAAAAATATTTTATTTTATAATAATAATAATTATTATTGTTATTTAATTAAAAAAAAAAATTATACATTTTTTTCCCAGAAGTTCCAACAATTTTTGTGGAAAGTTTGGAATTTTAGAAAATGAAAGATACACAAATATTTTATAATTAAAAATAACAATAATGAACACTTAGAATGACAGTGAAGAAGTGATAAGAAATGACAGACAACCTATTATTTCTGTTTATTTCAGCAGATAGTGTCAGTAGAACATATTTCTGTGTCAGATGAGCTTTTGTATCTTTGGCTCTGAGATTAGAATGAATATAATGTATTATAATATGCATGCACATTCACAAAAGAACAACAAATGAAACATGTTGTATGCCTCAGACAGGCATCATGTAATTGTTTGTTGTTCAAACTGAAGACAACAGCAGGTCACATTCGACACATATGACACATTCAATTAATGATACAATTTTGTAGTTTACAAAGTAAGTGAAGACATTCTTTAGTATGAAGGTAGCAAATTTAGCTGATGTGCCCTCAAAAGTATGTTTGTGTTTGTGTTTTTGGCCATTTGACATTTGGGTGGATTACACATAAGGAGATGCTTAAATCCTGCCAAAGACCTCATTAAAAGAGAGAGAGTGATCATGTAGCTTTTGGAAGCTTCCATTGATCTTATAATGATGCTGATGAAGAGGGCCAGTCAAGGGTCTGGGTTAATAAATAACCTCTCCATCACTAGCATCTTCACTCTTGCCTCTGAAGAAGACTCGCACATCATCCTTGAACCTTCAGCATCAATGGTCAGTAATGTTCATATGTTTTTCATTCAGTTTGTTAGAGGTAGTCATTTACTCCTAATCATAAAGGTTCTTTATTGTCATTGATGATTCCATGTAGAACTTTCTATTCCACAAAAGGCTTTTTATAGTGAAAAAAGGTTCTTTAGGTTATTAAAATGTTCTTTACACTAAGAAAAAATTGTTTTTTTTAAAGAATTGTCAGTGTTATTAATAGTGTGGGTGCGCATGTTTTGTCTCTTTAGAAGTTGATTGTGTTTCTGAATGAATTCCTGCTGCTCTTTCTGATTCATCATTGGACAGAAAGTGTGGACGTTTACAGGAAGTCCAACAACACTCACAAAGAAGCTCAATGACATATATTTTTTTTATTATGAAAGTTTGTATTTGTGTGTGTTTGCTTCAGGTTTTCGCTGTACCAAAGAGGATTCTCCTGATCTGCCTGCTTCATTTTTGCACTTGTGCAGTCGGTGAGACTGTGAACCCAAAAACTCTCATGAGTATTGTAAACAACTTGGGAATCGGTATGTTGCTTTGATTGAACATATAAGTAGAATTTACAAAAAACAAAAAAAAACTGCACATACACATTCAAAATCATGAAATGAATTAACAAATATAAGAAATATATAAAAAAGTATAAAACATAATAAGAAATTAAAAAGTATATTAAGAAAAACAGTACAACAGATTTTTATGAGTTCTATTTTTTGTCCTTTATTAATTTTTTTGTCCTTTATAATTATACTATCATGCAATAATTTTAACATTAAACTATTTTATCATTTTATTTTATTATATATATATAATACATATTTTTCTTTTAATATTTGTTTTAAAATTTGAGAAATAAACTCTTACAAAATATTAAATTCCCACTGCTTTGTAATTTCCAGGTTGGGTAACATGGGACAATACGCTGTCGCATTCAGAGTCGAGAAGGACCAATGTCTTAAAGGTTCTGACTATCCAAGCAAGGAGTTACTAACTAAAGTGAAAGAAAAACTGCAGCTCAATGAGGTTTACCAGAGCGATCACCTCATTGCTGCAAAGTCAAATGAAGTGGAACATTCAGAGTTTCGCCTAAAAAAGATTTGGATAAGATCTTGCAGGTTAAAGATAAGTGTGTGGGATTTTTCACTGTAAACTCACCCTGTTTGAAAACATGCCTAGCAGAAAATGGGGAATACAGCATTGAAGACAGTCTTGTACAGTTACAAAAATATGTGGGAATTAAAGCCTTTGCATTCGAAAACATTTGGAAACACGATAAAAAGGTGGAGGTGGTAAAGAGATTGAAGAATATTGCACCTGGTTTGCCATATTATCAGTGTGAGAAAAACAAAGCTGAATGTGATAGCCTCTAAGAAGAGTAATGCTTGACAGCTGCTTTCCTAACACAGATATAGTTTTATTTAGCTGAGGATTTTTTGTTTGTTTTTAAATGCAACTTTAAAATGGTCAAATCATCATCTGTAAAAAGCATACATTTTGATATTGCATGCTTGATAGATGACAGTTATTGTTAACTAATGATAGCATGTCTGCTTACTGCTGGAGCAAATAAAGATACATTTATTGAGCATCATTTCTGGTTTAGGTATTATCTCTTTCAAACACCTGTTATTCAAACATATGGAGTAGCCATATGTCTATTTCTACGATGATATCCTTCCATTGTTTTATACCTTGCTGCATGTGGCATGAATATTAAATGCTATCACAGATTTAGATGATATCAATACATAAGTGAATATATAAAATATATTCACTTGGTGGAACTGTTTCACAAAATAATAATAATAATAATAATAATAATAAAATTAAAAAATAAGAATTCATTTCTTTTAATAATAATTAATTTTAATACCAGTATTATTACAAATTGTAAATATTACTATAAATATAATTATAAAATATAAAATTATATTCACGTTTAATAAAATAAAAATATGTTATTAAACCAATGTTATTTAAAATAATACATTACAATTAAAATTACCTACAAACACTGTTCACACTTCAAAATGCTTCACGTTGTCCATCTTGTGTGATATTCACTAAAAATGGTGTAGAAACAATTTTCACTCAGAAATTGCTAGTAAATTTCACAAACGATTACAAACAAACCGCAAGTAACACATTGAATTGAATACGTAGAGAAACAGACATTTTCTTGTAAAACATACTCCAATAATCTTTGAAACTTTGAAAATAATTTTTTACAGTGTTGAGAAGAACAAATGTCTAGCACAGTGAATCTCAACCTTTTGGCGTACCGGACCCCAGTCCAATTCAGAACCATCCTCAAGGACCCCCAGAACAAACTTGACTCATATCATTTGTGTCTTTGTGAGGACCAAATGCAGTCAAGTATAATTCAAGTTAGCTGACTTGTCCAGTATTTGGCCATATCATCAGCTATATTGGATTTTTCTTTCATGGGAACATGTCATGTCAAAATATACAACATTTATACAAAAATTCATACTTTATACGGACCCCCTGGCCTTATGTCAAGGACCACTAGGGGTCCACGGACCCCTGGTTGAGAAACACTGGTCTAGCAGACCACTTAATATATATATTCACTGCTCAATGTGCTGTTGAACTGTCAGTCTGGTGCTGTTAAATGTATTTCATCCAGGACGAGTCTGTCAATCAAACCTGAACACACACACTGAGTCTGTGGTGAAGGTACAGCTGGTGCTCATCCACACACTCACAGGCTCCCCGGGGCCTCTCTCTGCCCACAGACCCGCTGCAGGCTGACCCTCTCAATGGAGGTCAGGACTCCACTCATGGACACTATTGGATTCAGTCAGCTGAAACATCTCCCCCAGCATATTACCCTGAGGAACAGAGGCAGAGAGAGACTGTGTGAGGGCAGAAGCATCCGGGTGCATGAGAGGAACCAGGTGTTAGGTGGAATTCAATCAATAAGAACATTTTACTTCATAGTGAGATGAAAAATGAGGTGAATAATAAAACGCCGCGGGATACTATATTAAGTCCAAACAGATGCCCTGAGAATGTGTCTTTTTACCTCACAAACAGCTGAATATCGACACATTGGGTTTCATCTTTGTGTCTTGATGTGGCACGTGACCCACTCGAGACTGGATGAAAGAAATGAAGCGACAGCACGCGTCTCGGTTTATTTGGCGCTCTTGGGAAAGACACTATGCTGTTAAATTGTTTATTTCATGTATAATGTTTATTGTTTATATCATGTATAGTGTTTGTCATATACATGTATTTTGATCTTGTTAATAAAAAAAAAAAAAAAGACACTATGCTGTTAATTTTGCCAGTTGTGTCGTGAAATGGACGCTAGATGGAGATACAGGATAACTTCATAACTCAGCGGCCTCAACATGATCTAACTACTACCACTAATACTACTACTATTATTAATAATAATAATAATAAATATATTTAAACAACAATTAAAAGGTTTAAAATGAATATTAAAATGATGCTTATTATATTTATCATTATGATTAAATAGAAAATATAATATATTATATATATTAATTTTATCTTTATAATTATATTTATATATAATTACATTTTTTTTTTTAAATAATAATAATTGCAGTTTACGTCCAACACTGTTATTTAAACTCCTTTTTTAATACCTTCAGACATAAAAAATACTACTTCTACTACTAATGAATGACAATTTTAATCAATATATAATTTAAATAAGCGACCACGTATCTCTTTTTGATTGGCAGCTACGTCACTAGAGAATGCCACGCCCCCTCCAGCAGAGCTCGCGGTGTGCTGTGCGCGTCTCGTGCGCGTCTAGATCAGTCGCGCGGAGCGGCACGAGGAATAAACGGGAATAACGAAGAGACGGTTACGGGACGAATGGCGCTCATGGCCGGGATTATTTACGCGCTCACCTCGCTTTTCCTGGGGATTTGTGCAGGTCTGTCCGCTCCAAGGAATCATCCGGAGAATGAAGGTGAGAGGGGTTTCAATAAAGAGGAAAAGTTTAGGACGCAGAGTGAAACTCGCGCAAATGCAAAGCGGCCAGTTCCCGCAAACCTCTTAAAGAAAGAAGCCTATTTATCATTTTTACTACATTATCACTAAGGCTTTTTTTGTAACATAAGATGTTTTTGTTGCAACTGATATCTGGAAATATAAATAAAGTAACTTACACACTATTTATTTATGTATGCACACAGCAGGGCAGTAAAAACTACATACTATTTATACATATGCCACATATGTATTCTTCACATTTTACATTTTAGATATATAATTATTCATTATTTTATTTATCCTTCCTCTATTTAATATTTATAATGTCTTATATCTTTAGTATTAACTTTAAAGTGATTGGGTTTTTTTTTAGCACAAGAATGGTAACAGGCTAGTAATAATTTGTTATCTGCAGATATAAACAATAGCCTACATATAATGTCAAACATCATAATAATGGCTCTATAAGGCTTTATAATTAACTGTAAAGGCTTTATAATTAACTTGAAGATGATGGTTTTCTTGTGCAGACTGGAGGGCTTTTTTAAGTCGTTACTGTAAAAGCAGTGTTTGCCTAACTTTTAAGAAAGCAACACACTTTTCTTTACGTTTTGATGAATTACTTTGCAAATTATTATTTGTAATAATTATTAGCCATAATTTTCTACTAAGTTCAGTGCTTGGTCAAACCTCTGTGCACTTGTCTGTCACTTTTCAGCCACGTTTGCAGCTGTTGTCATTATTTATCTGAGATGTATGCCTTCCAGCTTCATCCTAGCATCAGTTTTATCACTATGGGTAAGATGCACAGGCTTTGGTGATCTCATTCTCAAGTCTTCTGTGTTTTTCTCTTTCAGTCACGCTGCTGGATTCCAGATCAGTGCAGGGAGATCTGGCATGGGTCGCGAGCCCGACGGAAGGAGGGGTGAGTCCCTCTTTCTCCAACTTCACCTCATTAGTATTCATACGTATAGTTTGAGCACCATTTCATACTTTTAGATAGATGCCACATCTAAAAGCATCTAAAACCTAAAGCCTTAAAGGATGTACAAACGTTTACAAATCAACTGAGGTCGATATAATATTACATACGTAGGTTAATTGCATTTTATTTCTAATAAATGAGAGGATTTAAAGATGTTTAACACCATCACATTCATTTAACACAGATATAAATGTAACAAATTCTACATTGTAACAGTTTCATTCTGTTTTGCTTTGATGATAATTAAATTCAGCCATACAAAGAGTGCAGGTGACTTTATTTTTCTTAGACCCATCTGGAGTTCATTTATAAATAATTTTATCATTAATATTGTCTTTTTAGACTGTTATATACTGAGAAGTGCCATGGAATTGTCTTTAAGTATTAAACTTTGGTTCTTTATTGGCATCAAAGGTTCCACAAAGAAACTTAAACATTCATGGAACATTGTCATTGCACAAAAGTTCTTGTTCTGATTTTTAAAACGTTCTTCACACTTTTTTTTTTGAAGAAGTATTAAATAAAAGGCATGGAGTTTCTGCCACAGGATAAAAATAAAAAATGGTAATTGTGACTTTTTATCTTGCAATTCTGACTTTTTCTTCTCAATTCTGAGTTTATAGTTCACAATTCAGACTTTTCCCCTCACATTTCTAAGATTTCAGAAGATAAATGTCATAATTTTGAGATTAATCTCAGAATTGAAAGATATGAACTTGCAATTCTGAAAGGAAAAGTTGGAATTGTGAGGAAAGAAGTCAGAATTGTAAGATAAAAACTTGCAATTACCTTTTTTATTTTTCATCCGTTGGCAGGAACCCAAAATGGTTCTTCTATAGCATCACCATTAAAAAAAAAACAAAAAAACATTCAGAATCTTTATTTTCCTCAGTGTACCCTCACAATTTTTGTTCCAGTCTTAAGAGAGCCTCAAGGTTGTTTACATCTTATATATAAAAGCATTTATATTTTAGATGCTGTCAGCGTGTTGATATTGTTTGTTTCAGCATCCAAAAATGTTCATGTCACGTATGAATACCTGCGAATATAAGTGAGATCAGCCTGCCCTCTCCACTTCTCTGGGATGTAAATTTGGAAAGCTAGGTTACAGCGACGGGCGTCAAATTTCCTAAATAGTTGAGGGAGACAGAAATGCCCTTTGTTAGGAAACTCTATCCCTTTTCTCTCAAAAGAGGTAGGGGGGAGAGACTTGGCAACCCGGAGGCAGAGAAAAGATCTGTTTGAGTGTGTGTGTGTGTGTGTGTGTGTGTGAGATTTTAGATCGAGGGGGTCAGTGGGTTCTGTCCGATAATGTATGCTTCTGCACAGTTTGGAGCCCCTCATCACCAATTAGCCGTTTAACATCTTCAGATCAGATGCATCTAAATTACCACATCAGCGATTCAATAAAACACACAGAATTCCCTTTCATTCCGGAGCAGCTCGGCTTCCTTTCGCATCCATCCAAGCCTCATTGAGCTCCTGAGTTTCTCTCCCTCTGTGATCTTCTCCGTGATGGACAGGCCTTTGGCACGGACGGTGGGTGGGTATTCAGACTTTAATACGGCCAATTAGCTCCTTTCTCCTCTCGTCCCGCTATCGGCCGCTCCAGGTTCTTATCTCTGCGCTGCTCCTCTGGGCCTCCATAGTTACACAGATGAAGGGACGAGCCGAACGGAGACGATCACACTCTCTGACGGACACCAGATCGCTGTCAGTCTTATTATCTCACAAATGCTCAATTAATTTTAGCGCACGGTGAATCATTCCTGGAGATTATTCAAGGCCGTCAGGATGATCTTAATGGGACCGTGGCTCCCTGATATAACACACAATAATTTTTCAATAGATTTTTTTTGCTTTCTAAAAATTGCCAATCAATAACTTGTTAATTTGTAGATCAGTCTGTGCCTGTTAACTGATATGTGCTCATTTGTAATCAGTTTGGAAAGAAGCGTCTGCTTCATGAATAAATGTACATGTAGTTAAAGGTCAAAGGGCAAATTGTTAATGCACATGTACTATCAGTCAGAAGTATGGAATAATTAAGATTTTTTTTTAAGTTTTTGAGTCTCATGCTCACCAAAGATGCATTTATTTGATCGAAAATACAGTAAAAGTGTAATATTGTGAGATATTATTACAATTTAAAAGAACGGAATCATATTAGAATGATTTCTGAAGAATCATGTGACACTGAAGACTGGAGTAATGATGCTGTTTTACTGTATTTTTGCTCAAATAAATGCAGCTTTGGTGAGCATAAGAGACTTATTTCAAAAACATTAAAAAATCTTAATTATTCCAAACTTTTGACTTTTAGTGTAAGTTAATATGTGATATTTCCCATTTAGACTCTTGGGTATCATCATTTAAATTTGCATGTGTTTATATGGTGATCATTTGCTTTAATACAAGTCATTAGTGCTGATTAGATGATGAAAACTCATTGAGTCCAATCAGACGCTGTAATGCTGGTTCAGCAGACGCTGAGAAGTGTTGTAGGCTGTGAAACATTAATGACTGTCTAGAGTTGTTATTGTATCTGAGGCTAGTAGAAGAAGAGTAATGGTAATTTTCTGAGGTTCAGGCAAACTTATTCTCAAGCCTGTAAGAGGGAAACAGATGTTATGTTTTAGATCTACATTTACTCTACAGATTCCCAAGGTTCAGTTCTGTTTTCACTCTGGATGACCTCATGTTTGTTTAGTTAAATGATCGGTTGTTTTCGGGGGTTTTTTTTGGGTGGGGGTCTGATGAGCCTCATGCTTTATGCTGTCATCAGTTTTTAATAGAGATGCTCTGTTGAAGATTTTTCCAGCCGATTACTGTTTTCATGTCATCTGAATCAGCCGATACTGATTATTTACATTTTCATTGGGAGTTCTGTCATAACTGATTGACTAATACTGTACTTCTTTGATGTATGGATAATTAAACAAATAAACACGAAAGTACTCATTTTAAAACAAAAATTTTCAATACTATGCTTGCAAATTTTTTTTATCTATTATAGGACATATGATGCCATAGCCTACAATGCTTAGAGTCAAAGGTATGTTAAAAAAAACTCACAGGTGAAATTAAATTATTGTCATGATCATTTGGCACATTTTATATATGCTATTTAACAATAATAAATAAACAAATATAAAGTTGTGACTTTGTGAGTGAATTGATAAAAAAAAACGGCCCATCATTCAAGTCAGTTGTTCGTTAACTGCTGTGAAGTTTCTGATTCACTAAAAAGAACCAGTTTAAAAGAGTTGTTCGTGAATCGTACACAGACATATCAATGAATACACAATTATCACAAATTACAAGACATGTTTAAAAAATAATTGATAGATAGTTAGGAAAGAGAAATGCAAATTTATAGGGCAGTTTAGGTGAAAAAAATCTCACTTATGTTTAGGTAACATGGTTTTCAAAAAGCAAGATTAATAGCCAGATAAACATTTTAACAGAATATACTTGTGAAGTTTACCACATAATGTACATTTTAGTCAGAATGTTTTTTAATGTGTTTTTTTTCTATTTAGCATTTTTTAAAATTTAAATTTGACATTGAGAAGGTCTTGATTTTCCTCATTTCTGACATTGTGTTTGTGCTATCTCATGCAGTGGGAAGAGGTGAGCATCATGGATGAGAAGAACATCCCCATCAGAACATACCAGGTGTGTAACGTGATGGAGCCCAATCAGAACAACTGGCTCAGGACTCACTGGATCCGGCGCGGCCCGGCCCAGCGCATCTACATCGAGATTAAATTCACCCTGCGTGACTGTAACAGCCTGCCCGGCGTCATTGGCACCTGCAAAGAGACGTTCAACCTCTACTACCTTGAGTCCGACTCCGATAACGAGCGCTACGCTCACGAGAGCCGGTTTGCCAAGATCGACACGGTGGCGGCGGACGAGAGCTTCACGCAGGTGGATATTGGTGATCGGATCATGAAGCTGAACACTGAGGTTCGGGACGTCGGTGTTCTGAGCCACACAGGGTTTTATCTGGCCTTCCAGGACGTAGGAGCCTGCATCGCTCTGGTTTCCGTTCATGTGTTTTACAAGAAGTGTCCGTTAGCTGTTAGGAACCTAGCGCAGTTTCCTGACACAGTTACCGGAGCGGACACATCATCACTGGTGGAGGTGCGAGGCTCCTGCGTGAATCATTCGGAGGAGCAGGAGGTTCCCAAAATGTACTGCGGCGCAGATGGAGAGTGGCTGGTGCCCATTGGGAATTGCCTGTGCAATCCTGGATACGAGGAAAGGAATGAGCAATGTCAGGGTAAGACACTTCTGATGTTACACTCAAACTAGCACAAGTGATCTTAGCCACATTTTAGCCACATTTGTCTCCATTTCATGAGTTGGAATTTGAAATCAAATTGGTCACACCCACAGGAAGTTGTCACTGTCTCTGTTTTTAACCTTCAAGTCTTTTTAACTCTCAGAGACCAAAGCATAGATATTCACAATGTATTATTTCTTGTCACCCTTATCAGTTAGTTTAGGTAAAATTTGCATTTGGGGTATAAATTGGACAAGCATTGCAAAATTGCAACACTATCCATTTAGGGTTATGAAATTTCACTGTTTTTTTTGTTTTTTTTTGATATACTAAATGAAATGTTTGGAATTCACAACACAACTCTGCACACAGATGTATTTAAAATTCATCCATTAAGGATACAGTTATGAAAAGTTAATAAATGTAATTTAGGGATGCTCATTTCGGTTAATTTTCCCGACCGACAACCGCTGCTCGTTATCCGAATATTAACCGTTAACTGATAAGATTATAAATTAGTATTAAATAAAAATAGAATGGATGAGTGTGTGACCCATTAAAAAAAAAAAAACTTCACGGGTTTATTTTAATGTGCAATGTGTTATTTTAACATCGTCAAATTATCACACACCTGCAGCGCTTCTGAGAACAGAGAAACATAGAATAAACACAGAATAAAATAATATATATAAAAAGAATAAAATAAATAGGCCAACACTAAATGTTTTTCACTTAAATAATTAACAAATTAAGTTGACAAAACGAAAACACACTGAATCCTTCTATGCCCTTTAAAGAACCGGCAGTCTTTTTTTTGTCAGACATAAAAACAAATAGCAGGCCTACCTCAGTGCACAACGTGTCTAGTTTTTATAAAAAAAAAAAAAGTAACATGTCGACATGCTGTGCGAATAGTCTGGAGTAGAGCTCTGCGCGGGACTGTTTCGTAATGCCTCTCCCGCTAAATTTCTGACCATTACCGCCCGCTCCCGCAAACATTCTAATGTTGCATATAATTTTCGCGCATCAGGGAGCCGCTATGAATATGCGGGGTACTGAAATCGCTTTTGTATGAGCGCTCACGTTTCACTTTCGATTTTTCACGATCACACGCACTCTGTGTAAAGGGAGCACATCTTACAGCATAAGATATTTGTTAATGAGCTCAGGATCTGTTGAGCAGCAAGTCCTTCAGCATGGTCTGTCAGTCATCTCTCTGTACTCTCGACCCGTGATTGCAAAGTCTGCGTTTTTTCCACGGAATTGGGCTACTTTTAAACTCTTGCCCTGGACTGATTTTTCTCCATGGGTGTACAAATATGTATAGCATACTTTTTTTTCACCATGCAGCAAACTTAAAAAAACAAATTGGAAAAAAAGTTGGAAAAAAATACTTAAAAAAATACCTTTTAAACCGTTTAAAGTGATAGTATTAATCGGTCAAAATTTGTACTTTCGGTTAACGGTTAAACGGTCAATATGACCATCCCTAATGTCATTATTTGGCTACACTTAATTTACAAAAATAAATATGCCAATATTGACAAAATTGTGAATTGCGAATAATGACAAAATTGCGAATTTGTATCTTTAACTTCTGACATTTTTCTTGCAATTGCAAAAAACAAACTTACACCTGCAAGTTATAAAGTCAAGTTCTGAGGGAAAAAAAGAAGTCAGCTCACAATTCTGATGTTTTCTTACAATTGCGAGTTTATATCTCACAATTCTAACTTTATAAATCGCAATTGCATGTTATAAAGTCTGAACTGCTAGATGTAAACTCGTAATTGCTAGAAAAAAGTCAGAATTGTGAGATAAAAAGTCGCAATTACCTTTTTCATTTTTTATTCAGTGGCGGAAACAAGTTTCCATACTTGTATGACTTTTTAAATTTTTTTTAATTAATTTAAATTTATGTTTGAATGGCCTCAATTCAAATTCGGGAACTAAATTGAAATTCAAAAGGGGTTCTTAATTCTTTTCTGAATGGTGACTTCCGTCTATCCATCCATCCCTGTGTCTTATTTTTTCTCCTCTCAAGCACGAGTCTGTCATCAGGTGGTAATAAGAGTGTTTCTGATTGGTTTATCAGCATTTGTGATTGTGTAATAAGGAGGACTGAGGTCTCTCCTCCCATGAGAACAAGAGATGTTGATTACAAACACAGAGTAGAAGAGAGAAGAGGAGAGGCAGTAAATCCACGAGTGCTGAGCGTTCTCATGGAAATAACTTAATTATAATCATACTAGTTGGGCTCTGGACTTTGTAATTAACAGATTTTTGTCAACTTCATGCCACATAATAGGATGTGACTCACTGTGGATGTGTGTGAGAGAGAAAGAGAGAGATCGCGAGAGAAAGATGGAATGAGTCGAGGCATGTTATCAAGAGTCTAAAAATGGCAGAGGGCCGCGAGTGTGATGAATGGATCTGTTAGAGGAGAAAAAAATGTAATTATCTTTAAAACTGACATTTCATTCTGCCATAGATCAAGCCAAATAAGAGCCTGTGACAATAATAAATACACATCACACAGAAGTGATGACAGAGAAAAGAGAAAGTTGGACTTCTCTTGTACTTAATGGCTTCTAGACATGTGCTGCTATTTGTAGAAGTGCCGCAAAGACGCACTGCAAATACTTTGCGTGGTTTCCATAGCGATGATGAGGGAAAGCCGGCACCACCCTTGACCTTTGCCCTGAGAGGTCACAGATCAAAGGTTACGTTCTCGCTCGGGACTCAAGTGCAGTCATCTGGGGCTGTTTCAGGTTTCCTTAAGCGTGTTGAATTTTCTGTGAGTTTTTGAAGGGGAATTATGTTACAGACAGATTATTAGTGGAGCCTTCATGAATATTGATGGTATTTGAGTCTGCATTAATTATTCAGAAAATTGAAAACTATGAATAGCAACACTTTGTGGACGTTCTTTTTTTACACTTTGCATAGAGATATTTTCATGACATTTTGAGCATTTGAACAGACATACATGCACACACACGTGAATGCGTGTGTGTATGTATATGTTTTATATTATCTTCTATATATATATATTTATTAAATAAATGTAATATCTTAAATATTATAAAGATATTTACAAAATATTGTAAATATTACTTAAATATAAAATATACTTTTACATTCATATATAATAAATGTTACATTTATGTATAAAATATAAATTATGTATATATTTTATATATTATTTATTTTAATTTGAAGTTATATTATTATATGTACAATATAAATATTAAAATAAATAATTCTATCTATCTATTTATCTATCTATCTGTCTATATATTTTTTTCAAAATAGAAATACATTGCTTGACTTGTTTGTATTTAATTCTATAGTTTAATTATAGTTTTTTTGTTTCACATTGGACAAAGTTTTTACCCACCATTATAAAACTGTCTTTCAATTAATTAAAAATTAAGTAAAACCTAAACAAATGGTGAAACACAAGACTTTTTGCACATTATATAGCCATGTCTAACCAGAGAGCTTGTGATTTCTGTAGGTCTACATGACTATTTTATGAAATATGTTGCTAAATACAATAAATACAAAATCAATGCATGGTATTTCATTGAAAAGTTACCTTGGTAGATATAGTGTGGAAATAAAGTAATGCATTACTTATTTCTTCTGAGGAGTTGCAGTGCATGCATGTGAAAGTATCTGTGGGATGCAGTCGATGCTATTGTTGCGCTGACGCTGTGCTGAAAGGAATCTGCCGTTGCAGTCGAGACTCTGGGCTCTGTGAGAGTTTTGGGGGTTCACCGGGGGGAGCTGAAGAAGAGGTCCGGGGCAGGTCAGAGGTCACTGACTCTTTCATCCATCTCTGACGCTTGGCTGACAGCTGGAGAGGAGAAATTTATTAAGACATCAAAACTCTTGACAGCTGGGCTTCCACAGGATGCCATGGAGACATGGGGGCCGTGATCGCGGCTCCTGCTCTCTATATGGACCCGATGGGGGATGCTGCTGTTTGTTCTGTGTGGTTTAGAGTCGCCTGTTGCATGATCACCCACAGGATAGATAGATCTTTACAATCTCATTCGTGTTTTCTGAACAGAAATGATATTAAATGGAGAACAAATTGAGATTTTTTTCTTATTTCTATTGATTAATCTCACGTGTCTCCTTTATAGAGTTTCAAAAGCAATAGTAGACTGCATATTAGATTTTTAAATGGTCCTAAGTTGCAAGGATAAGTAATAATAAAATAAAATAATTGTTTTGTGATAAATTATGCAGAGTTTTTGTTTCTTTTGGCTCCGAGATGTACGGATGGCCTGCAAATTTGATCTCTTTAATATCTCAATTGTTTGTCCTTTCAGTGAAAATATAAAGAGCAAATTGAGATTTTTTATTTTATTTTAAAAGTACCATAATAGTATTATAAAGGAATTAAAATTGGCTATTGTGTTTTGTATCCTTTTACATTTGAAAGCATTTGTTTGATCTCATCTCCTGAGCTATGAATGAGCAATCTCTGAGCTATAAAATGTCCTGTGAGTAATGAAGGAAAGGACAGGAGAGGAAGGAATCAATCTCTCTCACCTTTTCTTTATCACTTTCCTGCTTTTTTTTCTCATGCCATTTATTTGAGCTGAGGGAAAGTCTGTGTTGAACTGTGTTTCGTGTTCCAGCTTTTTGCGGCCTCGTTTTCTCCGACATGCCTGAATGGTTTAAACACACAGCAGGATGAAAGGAACAGGTCAGAGTCTACCTCAGCCTGAAGTGCTCAGGACAACCAGCCCGGTTCCTCAGCAGAGGAAACGGAGATAGAAAGAGTCCTGTGTGTGCGAGTCGAACATCATTACGGAGGTGTTGAGAGCTGTTTCTGGTCTGGATGGTGTTCTGTTCCCTCAGTTCTTTTATCTCTGACTGTCTCTCTCAACGCCGGCTCTCCCCTCTCTAAAAGGAGCGTGACAGAAGCACGAGGGACGGCACCGCCGTAACATTGATATAATGTTGCAGCTCGCTGACAGTCCCTTATATTAGACAGACTTAATGGACTCTCTGGAAGTCTTACAAGGGAACGACAGGAGACGTGTTGCCTCGGCTGACCTGAATTTCCCTCTCTCAAATTCAGCGCTGATTCAGCCGTCTTTAAAGGGACCATTCACACACAAATCGCCTACTCATCCTCATGTTTCTTAAAATAGGAAATATTTAGCAAGCTTCACATTTCTAAACAATTTAAAGGGGTCATCTTTCTCTTTGGAATGTTACAAGCTCTTGGTGCATAAAGAAGATCTGTAAAGTTGCAAAGACTAAAGTCTCAAATCCAAAGAGATATTCTTTATAAAAGTTAAGAGTCAACCACGCCCTCCTAAAACGGCTCATTCTAACACGCCCCCACATGTCTACATCACGATGTGGGAAGATTTGCATAACGCCGCCCAAATGTTCACGCAAAGAAAGAAGCCGTAACTTTTATTCTCGCTGTAGTATTGTTGTTGCCGCCGCCATGTGTTTCATTGTGAAAGCGAAACCAAAAGAGGACGATATCCGAAGCGTCATGTCTAGAGCTGATCCGTGCTGGTCGCTGAGTAAATACATCAA